GGAATTATAGACACCATTAAAGATAAAAATTCAGAAAAATTATTCTTCTATTTCACCACAGCGGCTAGATTAGTATTAGCTAGAAATTGGAAAGCTAAAGAAACCCCAACACCGGAGCAATGGCTCCTAAAAGTTTGGGACATTATGAACATGGACATTCTAACCCAAAAAATATCACGTAGCATAACGAAACCGCCTAAAACAGATTGGGGAAACTTTCTGGAATATATTAGAGGGCTAAATAAGGAAATCTATATCACTAATGCGCGATGAAGAACCTCAAAGGATAATCAATAAGAAACCGACGAGCGAGTCACATAAGAAAAAGACAACAAGGAAATTAACTCATCGTTATCTCTCAAGTTCCTGCACGGCAACTCCTGGAAGTATTGTTCAATGTTGTTGTCACTGTTGTTAATGTCGTTGTTGTAATTGTCGCTGTTACTGTCATAAATGTGTATGGCCCTCCCTTTTTTTTATTCCATGTTTGTCTCTATGTATCCGCACGCTTGTCCTGTCATGAGCGTCAGTCCGTCCATTACTCTTTCCCCCCCCTCGCCTCCCCCACCCCTACCACTAAATGTTCTTCCAACTTTCCTGATAGTATTGTTTCCACCCTTTCCGTGTAAACAATATCTTCTGACTCCTTTTAATCCACTATTTTCTCTTCTCTTTCTATCCGCTCTATCTAAAGAGCAACATATTCCAAATAAAAATATTCATTAAAAAAAGAAGAAGTTGTTGTATGAGCCAGTCATAATGGAGCTATCGGAACCATTCCAGCAGCACTCAAACTTGTCAAAGATGCAGTCATTCTCATAAAGTGAACAAAGTTTGCTTCGAAGATATTCATGAACCTGATAGGTCTCTACGGGCCTGTTTTCCATATTGAGATCCCATACTTTAACTGAAAGGTAGTCTCTGGTCATCATATATCAACCACTGTGACTGAACTTTACATCTGATATTGAGGAAATTATTTCTGAAAAGAAGGATCAACTGCTGGGATCTTTGGGCTCCTCAAAGAATTTTGAATGTCTATCACAAAGGGCTGACGAACGCATATCATAGAGACGTATAGTTCCTTTGCTACTGCTGTAGACAAATACGTTACAATGATGAGGGTGGAATTCTGCTGCAGTTATGACCTCTGTCAGTTCTTCCATGTTAGCAGGTTTTATATCTACAATGTTAAAACTTCTATCTGTGATTTCTAAATGCCACAGGTTGATTCTTAGGTCATCAGCAAAAAGGTATGTTTCATAATCACTATTTACTGAAATAGAACCCACGCGTTCACTTCGTTCATCTGGAGAGGCCCTGCTCGTGATTCCGCCTTTGGTGGGGACACGAGACAGGGCCTTTTCTGTGGTGGCCCCCCGACTCTGGAACACCCTCCCCAAAGATCTTAGACAGGCCCCTACGTTGGAAGTCTTTAGAAAGAACTTGAAGACCTGGCTGTTTCGATGTGCCTTTCCAGAATAGGAAAACTCCAATAACAAGTCCCAGAAGCACTTTATTAGAATTAAGATTGCTGGCACACTGCACTTACCCTATAATCCTTACATATCACCTGTCACTTCAGCACTTTTAATCTGTACCCATTACTCTGGCCCGGCCCAGTTTTATTGTGTCTTGGTGTATTGTTTATTGCTTGTTGTTTAATTTTGCTTTAACTGTTTTTAATTTTTTAATTTGCTTTAGGTTGTGTATTGTTATGTTGTGTTTTGAGGCCTTGGCCTTTGTAAGCCGCATCGAGTCCTTCGGGAGATGCTAGCGGGGTACAAATAAAGCTAATAATAAGAAGAAGAAGAAGAAGAAGAAAACACCTTTATGGGTCACCTTGATGGAGGCCCATGAAAGAAGACTCTTAGGATGGAGAGTGTGGCCAATATATAGAGACATATTAGTCAAAAATACATCTGAGATTAAGACATATGAACAGCTGAAGGACATATATGAGAATATCACTTGGCTACATTACTTACAGATGAAAGAATAACATAAACAAGATAAAAATAGGTTTTGACTGGGAAGAATCATTATGGGATAAGATATTCAAGATGAAAAAAATAATAACAACAGTATATAATAAATTACTGATATGGGCAACTGAAAGTGAACAGGTTAAATCTTGTATGATTAAGTGGGCAGAGAACTTAAGAAGACCAATTCAATTCAGAGAGTGGGAACAGATGTGGAACAGGAAATTAAAATATACATATGCAACAGAATTGAAGGAAAATTGGATCAAAATGTTCCACAGATGGTACACCACTCCAAAAGAACTGTCCCACATGTATAAAAACACTTCTGATAAATGCTGGAAAGGGTGTCAACAAGTAGGCACTTTCTATCATATGTGGTGGACCTGTAAGGAAACTACAAAATATTGCACATTCATGAGGAAGTACAAACATTTTTGAAAAGGACATTTAAAAAGAAACCTGAATATTACTTGCTTGGCTTTACGGATCTGGATTTACAGCTTAATGAAAATGAAGACAAACTATTTACATACATTACTACAGCGGCAAGAATAACTTTAACAAAATTTTGGAAACAGGATAAAATCCCAGACATTGACATATGGCTGGATAAGGTAAGAGAAATAAGAGACATGGACGAATTAACCTTTAAAAAAAAAAAGAATACCAGGAAATCGATAAAGAGGACTGCTATGGCTGACTTCTCTGGTTGAAACATCCGACTTCAACCAGAGAAGTCAGCCATAGCAGAGCACCTGATGAACCAGCCTGGACACAGCATATTATTTGAGAACACAGAAATGCTGGACCACACCAACAACCACCATGTCAGACTACACAGAGAAGCCATTGAAGCCATTGAAATCCACAAGCATGTGGACAATTTCAACAGAAAGGAAGAAACCATGAAAATGAACAAAATCTGGCTACCAGTATTAAAAAAACTCTAAAATTACAACAGCAAAACAGCAGAGAGGAAACAACCAGGCACATCTTAACACCTCTCAACAAAAGATTTTCCCAGGCTCAGCCAGGCCTTCAAATGCTAATGAAGGTGGTCAGTTGAAACATTCACACCTAGCTCCAGCAGAGAAGAGCTCTTTGCCCCACCCCAGCCATTCCACAGATATATAAATCCATTGTCCTAATTCCAACAGACCTCACTACCTCTGAGGATGCTTGCCATAGATGCAGGCGAAACGTCAGGAGAAATGCCTCTAGAACATGGCTCTATAGCCCGAAAAAACCCACAAGAACCTAGTGATTCCAGCCATGAAAGCCTTTGACAATATATTTATTTATTTATTTGCCAGTCAGTAAATAAAATTCTCCTTATCTCATTTTATTTTGCTAAAGATGGTCAACTTTTATTTTTCCATGTATTACAGAACTCATCTTATAATCTTTTTTGTTGTCTGAATAGGCTTTTCTCCCTTAGAAAGCAATTAGGGTGCTTTCAACAGATATTTATTTATTTATTGCAAACCAAACAGTTGCATTGTATTTTACAAAAACACACAAAGTTTGAAAACTTGGCACTCTATTAAATGTCCTTTGACCAGTAGCTGGCCACTTGGAGTGTCTCTGGTGTTGCTCTAAGAAGGTCCTCCATTGTGCATGTGGCGGAGCTCAGACTGCATTGCAATAGGTGGCCTGTGGTTTGCTCTTCTCCATACTCGCATGTCGTGGACTCCACTTTGTAGCCCCATTTCTTAAGGTCAGCTCTGCATCTCATGGTGCCAGAGCGCAGTCTGTTCAGCGCCTTCCAAGTCGCCCAGTTTTCTATGTGCCCAGAACAGAGTCTCTCATTTGGTATCAGACATCGATTGAGGTTCTGGGTTTTAGCCTGACACTTTTGGACTCTCGCTTGCTGAGGTGTTCCAGCGAGTGTCTCTGTAGATCTTAGAAAATTATTTCTTGATTTAAGTTGTTGGAATGCTGGCTGATATCCAAACAGGGGGGGTTGAAGATGTTTTGGTCCTCTCACTATTGGTTGCTAAACAGTGTAATTTCTCCAGTGGTGTAGGGCACAGACATCCCGTGATAATGTGGCATGTCTCATTAAGAGCCACATCCACTGTTTTAGCGTGGTGAGATGTGTTCCACACTGGGCATGCAAGCTCAGCAGCAGAGCAGTAAAGCACAAGGGCAGATGTCTTCACCATATCTTGTTGTGATCCCCAGGTTGTAACAGTCAACTTTCATATGATAATGTTTCTAGTGCCCACTTTTTGCTTGATGTTCAGGCAGTGCTTCTTGTAGGTCAGAGAATGGTTCAGGGTAACTCCCAGGTATTTGGGTGTGCTGTAATGCTCCAGTGGGATTCCTTCCCAGGTAATCTTCAGAGCTCAAGATCTTGTCCTGTTTTAGATGGATTAGGAATCAGCTGGTTTTCTCTTGTCTGTTGGAGGCAAGTGTGATTTTTCCCCCTTTTTTGTGTAGCATACACAAAATAAAAACTTATTTGCACAGAAGAAACTCATATTATACTCTATATTATATTTTAAAGTGGCATACACACCCCGTCTTGCCATGGTGTCGGAGGGGTCGCTGCACAATGTCTCCATGCAACACCCTGGCAAACAGTGGCAGACTCCCTTAGGGCTCTTTCTTTCCTTCCTGTTTCCCTCATACAGCTTCTCCCTCGCATTTCTTGCTTTCCCTGACACACCCTCTCCATTTTCATTATTTTCTTTCTTTTCCCTCCCTTCCCTAATCCCTTCCTTCCACCCCTCAAACTTTCTCCTTTTCCTTCCTTCCCCTCTGTAGAAAGAGGTGGCCAACACGCAAAAAATGTTTCGTAATGAATATTTTGTCAACACTGGCACATGGCGTTACAATTTCCCATTTCCCTTAGGGAAGAATGGCGACTGTACCGCAACTGCCACCGGCCGGCCAGCCCTTTCTGCCTCGCCTGAACGTCTCTCTCCGTCCTCGCGGCGCTGCCGCGGCTCTCCTCCACAGCCCCGCCTCCCTTCGATGACGTGGAAGGGGGCGGGCCCTTGCAGCTGCCGTGGTGACGCTACCGCCGCCGCCGCCATTTTGTTCAAGCGTGAGGCGGGGGTGCGCCTTACCTGCCGCTCGGCGGGGGTTGCCATGTCGGCCTTCTCGGAGTCGGCCCTGGAGCGGAAGCTGTCGGAGCTGAGCAACTCGCAGCAGAGCGTTCAGACGCTGAGCCTGTGGCTCATCCATCACCGAAAGCACTCGCCGCTCATCGTCACCGTCTGGGAGCGGGAGCTGCGCAAAGGTAAGGGAAAGGGCCTCTGCGCCTGTGGACAGGGCCAGGGGGAGGAAAAGGGGGCGGCCTTGTAGAGAATGTTACTGCTTTAGCATGATTGTGTACGTTGCAGATATTAATTTCAAGGAAGCATGTCTTTCAAAATATGACTGATATATTTAGCAGCCTGAGACTCAAGGATCCACAGCCCCAGTGGAGTAGGCCCTGGCAGTGACTTGCAGTGGAAATAAAAAGGCCTGATAGGCCTTCCGCATCTTGCAGCCTCTCATCTCAAAGACTGCCTCATTGAATTTGAAGGGGGGCGGGAGCGGGTAGACATGTGATTTATTGCTATTTCACATAGACTCAGAGTTTTCTCCCTTATCTTGGACATGGGATCTAAGTTGAAACATAAATTTGGTGTTTCTGTTTTTGAGGTACTTGAGAATAAGTGATAATCTGTATCCTTTCATGTTATATAGGAAGCTCTCCAGGAATAATAAGTACAGGCAAGTCCCCGGGTTACAAACATCCGACTTACATCCGATTCCTAGTTACAAACGGGGGGGGAGTGTTTGTCAAATCAGTAGTCTAGTGTTTCCATGTTTGTTTGAAAGAGACAGGAGCTCTTCTGGCAAAATCATAGAATAATAGTTTCAAAAGACCACATGGGCCATCTAGTCCAACCCCCTGCCATGCTGGAAAAGCACAATCAAAGCACTTCCAACTGATGGTAGTGGGCAGCAAAAGTACCCTGAGTATTGTCGAAGGCTTTCATGGCTGGAATCACTAGGTTCTTGTGGGTTTTTTCGGGCTATAGAGCCATGTTCTAGAGGCATTTCTCCTGACGTTTCGCCTGCATCTATGGCAAGCATCCTCTGTGCTTAAGCTAAACATCCAATTCCAACATTTCTTTCTATATTTGATATGGGCATTTTTTCTTATTGTGTTATCAACAATGTGTGAATTTTAGAACAACAATGAGAATAATCCCTCAGATTTTAAAGTAGAATACTAGTTTTCTGTCATCACTTTTTATCATTTGGTAGTAATGGAATTGTAAATTTGTGAAGATCTGTAACACAAATGTATGTGTGCCTGTTTTCAGTGATTTCCAGCTTTTTGTGTCCAGTTGTGCCGGAAGATCTTAGAATATTTGAAGAGAGTCTGGTTCATTGACATGATCAGAAATCAGAACTGATTGTATCTTCAGACAGTATGTGAATGGGATGTAATTCTAATAAGCCAATGAAGAATTGTGAGCAATTCTGTTGTAAACACTCCCCTTTCAGTGTAGTGTAAACAGTGAATACAGTTGAGATGAAGAACTGAGCCCTTAGGATTGTCATATATTTCCAAATGAAAATGTTATTACTGTGTATATACTCATGTATAAATCTAGAAATTCTAATCAAATTTACTTTAAAAAACCTGGTTCAATTTATCCATGGATCAGAATAAATTCAATTACCCTCTTTGGGTTGACTGGGGAAAAGCAAGAGTTTGGACGAACCTAAAAGAAGCACTGACCTCCTCTACTCTACACTACTGCTCCACTTCTAAACTTTTAAAATGTCTGGATGGGGAAATAGTGGCGCTGGCAGCAGTCAGAGTAATTGGCCCCTGGAGTGGCATCACTGCCCTCTTTTCTTTGGAATGACCCTCAGTTTATTGACAAGTCATATCAAAATTCATAATTTTGATCCCCAAACTTGCCCTCTACTTACACATGTGGTCAATTTACACACAAGTATATATATGGTATGTCTTAATTTAGTCCCATAATCCTAGGTACAGAATAGTAGATAATCTGATTAAACAGCATTCTGTTTCAACATGTTTGCAACTTCGTTGAATTTGAAACTTTTTGAATCAGTGAATCAGAACAGAGTTGTGCACCAAATCCAAACTTTTCTGAATGTAATAGTATACCTTTTACTTTAAAGAAAAGCATATTATTGTATGGAAAATAGCTTGCAACAAAACATGTGTACAAAATGTAGCCCTTAAAGGAGATTCTGACAAAATGAATGTTCTTGCTTCCTTTACAGTAATCTTTATTATTATTATTATTATTATTATTATTATTATTGCTTTGGTACAGTCTTTATCATGGCTGTACCAAATAAACAACTGGATGTGCAAAGTTTATAATGTTAAATCATATTAGTATGAATCTGTTGTAGATGAGAAAATCCCAGGCATAGTGGTAATTAATTACATAAATACCTCTAAAATGAAATTACTGGTTTATTTGAAATATTGCCTCCTTTTCTCATAATCACTCACGGTCACTTAAAATATGCATAAAATTGACAAGAAGCAGATGTGTACTATAGTTCATTAGATGTGTACTATAGTTCATTAGAAGAAAAAACCTTGAACTCACCATATGTACAAGATGACTTTTTGACCCTGGAAAATCCTTTCAAAAGTTGGGGGTCATCTTCTACGCCGGGTATAGGTTGGCGGATGGAGGAGAACCTGCTGCCTTCCTTCTTGGCCTGACTCGGCTCCGCCCTGCCAGGCAGTCCCAGGGAGAAACTGCTGGAGCAGGAGGCACATGCACACTCCCTCTTCCCATCACTCGATGACTGGGTGGCTTTGGGGAGAGAGAGGAAGGAAAGAGAGGGGGGAAGGCAGCGATGTCCCGTGAGTTCAGAATGCTCATTGATTGCATGTGAACTATAAATCCCAGCAACTCCCAAAAGCCAAGGTCTATTTTCTCCAAACCCCTCCAGTATTCTCTGTTGCTCATGGGAGTTCTGTGTGTCAAGTTTGCTTCAGTTCCACTGCTGTTGGAGTTCAGAATGCTCATTGATTGCATGTGAACTATAAATCCCAGCAGCTCCCAAAATGCCAATGTCTATTTTCCCCAGACCCCTTCAGAAATCTCTGTTGCTCATGCAAGTTCTATGTGCTCTTTGATTACAGGTGGACTATGAATCCAAGGAGCTTCCAAATGTCGAGGTCTATTTCCCCCAAACTCCACTAATGTTCAAATTTGGGCATATTGAGTGCTCATGTCAAGTTTGGTCCAGATCAATAGTTGTTTGAGTTCACAGTGCTCTCTGGATGTGTGAACTACACCCCCCATTAATAACTGTCAATTCCTCCCAAACCCCTCCAGTATTTTCTGTTGGTCATGTGGGTTCTGTGTGCCAAGTTTGGTCCAGGTCTGTAATTCGTAAAGGTCGCAGTGGTCTGTGGAAGTCATAGCTGAATCAGTTGAAGGTACTGCAAATCCCATCATCCGTTTTCCATCATCCCCCAAACATTGTTTTTGTGATTAACCACCGTGCTTTAATTATGTTCCATTTGTAACAATGAAAGTAGATCCTGCATATCAGATATTTACATTACAATTTATAAGAGTAGCAAAATTACAGGTCTGGTTTGTGTGATTTTAATAATTGATGTAATTGTTTTTAGATGTTTTAATTCTTTAGTTTGGATCTCCCTCCTTCTCTCCCTCCCTTCACGGGGTGGGAAGAGGAGGCGAAGAGGGGTGGTCTTATACGGTGAGTATATCCCAAACTCTGTATTTTAACTGGAAAAGTTGGGAGTCATCTTATACACCCAGTCTTATACGCTGGAAAATACGGTAATCTTACTGGAAATGGAATGTACAGTAGAATCTCGCTTATCCAACCTATGCTCATCCAGCATTCTGTATGCAGTCTGCCTCCCACCCGGATCCACAGCTGTTTCAATACATTGCAATGTTTTGGTGCTAAAATCGTAAATATAGTATTTACTACATAACATCATAACATTACTGTGTATTGAACTGCTTTTTCTGTTGATTTGTTGTAAAACATGATGTTTTGGTGCTTAATTTGTAAAATCATAATGCTCTGCTGGCCCATTTATATTGAATAAATGAGACTTCTGTGTATTACTGTGCTGTATACTATTAAAACTACGCTGCATTATATGTTTCCACGAACAGATAGGATAGTGGCTTCAAATGTTGCTTCTCCAATTGTGTCTGAATAGATGGATAAACAGCAGAAATGTTAATGAAATATTGTCTTCCTCAAGAGATCTTAGTTTTAAGTCCATTTTTGGGATTTTCAGTTCTAATGTTAGAATGCTTCGTATTTGTACATCTTTTCATCTTCTACATTATTTTCATACATTATTCCAACCTTCAGAAGCTGTGGAGAAAGCAATTTGGCTGTTATTTTAATGTGTTGAGTTCTCCTGGTTTTATTGAGAGAAGGCATATCCTTTATATGTGTATGTGTAATCATTTTTAGAGTTATTCCATATTACGGATTTCCTAGCATAGTACTCTTATACTCTGTGGGAGTTCTGACATCAGTATTGATTGTATTGCTCACATTTAAAATAATGAAATTGCTAAAGTAAGCTCAGAATCATAATTGTTTCTGTATGTCCGATATAGAAATTGTGTTATGTTTTCTGTTGGTGTTAAGACATTTTAGGTTTATCCCCTGGCCATAATAGTTCAAGTATTAATGTATTTTGTATTTTTATTCTGAATAAAATATTGATCCTTTAGCAGCCTTTCAAATTGTATTGTATATTTCAAAAGTCTAGCTTTATAAATTGCAATTATGTTAGTTTTATAGCTTTTTTTCATTGTAGCTCAGATTTCTACTATTAAAATAGTGCCACCATAATAACCATATGCTCCTTGTGTTCAGGATTGCAATTCGACTGTAGGAAATATGTGTATGCTTAAAATGAACAGTTACTTAAAGATGTGTTTTAAAATTTCAAGATTTAAAAATAACATTTGCTCAGCTTAAGCCATCTGACATCCCACCTGTCCATTAATGAAGAATTAGACTGACTGATGTACCAGAAGCAAGGTTGTTCAATACCCTGGGATGTGTTATATCCATTACTCAACTCTGGAGACTCAGTTTAAATTTCTAGGTGGGAGTGTTAAAATGGGTTCTAGAAGTAGTCTAAAAATTCTGTTTTCTTTTACATTCTGTATGTCATTTGTACACTTAATTAAAAACTTACACAAAAGACAATTCTAAAAGTTGGCCTGG